GATGGGTGCCCCTCCCTGTTCTAACCATGACACTCCTTATCTTCTATGGGGGAGGGCACTCTCACATCTGAGAGTGAGGGCTCTAGACATAGATGAAGGGAGAGGATGATATAAGACCAATTTCCTTCCTGTTCCTAAGTGGCATCTTTCTATGTAGCCTTGTCAGGGCTTCTCTTTGTATATTCCTCTCTTAGTTCTTGATAAGTTAATTCCTACTTGCTTTTAATGCCTGATAATTTTATACTGAAATCTATAGTAGGGGTAAAAAAAAAACAACCCTGCCCCATTATACCTGCTTTCCTAGTTTTCCCTGAGTTATAGGGTCTACATCAGACTAGAATTATTGATGTTTTGCTAAGTTACCCAAAATGTTTCAGAAGGAGCAATATACAAAATATATGGAACACAATGACAAATTTGCCATTTACAACGACTACTGTAATATGGTATTAATTGGTAAATACAAAATGGTATTGATTTCACAGGCAAGGAGCCCTCATGTAGGAGCCAGTCATTTGTGACTTCTGTCTTATGACAGAATGTGAGTTGAATTTTTAGAAGAGCACTCTAAGAGTGCTTCAAGATAAAAAGGAAATAGACATTCTTAGAAATTTTTTTATAATAGCAAATATCTACAAGAATATCTGTGAGCTAGGTGCCACTATGCTAAGGTCTTAACATGCAATATCTTATTTATTCTCTAATCAAAACTATGAGACAGGTATTATTATAGTCATAGAGAAGAAAGACAAGGCTTACAAACAGTAAAATTTCACAGTAACTCAATACTCTAGTGCCTTAATACAAGTCAAACTGTACTATTCATATGCACACCGGACCTGGAATGTTCAATACAATAACCCTGGCCACATTAATATTAAGTAAAATTTACAATCACATTAGCCATATTCTGTGCTCCTGTGGTATTTTACCAGATTAGAAAATACAGGTATAATGATGTTAGGGAAATTCTATTGGGCAGCCTGGTCTAGACATTTTCTATCCAAAAACATCTCTGTCAGCTAATATTAGCAGTCTTCAAATTACCAAGAGGAACCAAAGGTTATAAGAACTCAGGTCACATGAACTGATTGGCCTGCTCTTTAATTACTTCCCCCTGAGGGGGAAGCAGCATTACCAGGCCACAGAAGAAGACAATGCAGCCACTCCTGATGAGACCTAATTGACTAGGATCAGAAGGAAGGAAAAGAAGACCTCCCCTATCAGTGGACTTGGGGAGGGGCATGCATGCAGAGGGTGAAGGAAAGGAGGGATTGGGACGGGAAGAGGGAAACTCAGGGGGGGAATACAAAGTGAATAAAGTGTAATTAAGAAAGAATTAAAAAAAAAAGAACTCAGGTCACTTCCTAAGCTCCCACTGCCTCAAGATGATATTTAGGCCAATACGAATTTTAAGTTCCTACTCTTCTCACCCCCAGAGTTTGGTCTTTACCATGCAGGAAAAACTGAGTTGACCAATCAACAGATGGTTGATTTAATTATGTAATGAGAAACAATCATAATTTGATTATGTATTAAGAAAACATAACTTCTTTATAGGATATTTTTGCATATCTAAGATAATGGAAACAAATCTAAAAAAAAAGAATTTTAGAGTAAACAGAGACTATCCTGAAGCATTTCCACTATATTTCTATCTTTAAACTTAGTTGCATTATGTTCAGAGATAGGTAGTTCAACAAAGCAGCATTGTCCTGACTCACAACAAAAAGAGCAACTTATATCTGCTCTTCAGAAATATCCCTCACAGGCTCATGTTTTGTGTATAGTCCCCAAATGGTGGCACTATTGATGGGGCTATAGATTCTTTAGGAGGTGAGGTCTGGCTGGCAGAAGTAAGTCACTAGGGATGGTTCTTTGAAAGCTATATCTTGCTCCCTGGTTCTGACCTCTGCTTCCAGACTTTGCTGTGTGCACCCATGTGCTTCATATGATGCTATGCCCTCTCCTCCATAATGAACAAAAAAATGTAAACTTTTGCTCCCTTCAGTTGTTTTTAATGGAGTATTATGATCACAGTAACTCGAAAGTAACTAATACAATCCACACTTTGTTTTGTGTGTATGCATACATGCATTTAAATTAGATGCCAAGCCATCTAAGAGTTACTATCTTAATACTAACTTTTCATTCTTTGTTGTTATTTAAAAAAAATCCAAACCATTCTATTTTACCAATAAACACTCTGAAGCCAGATACTAGGGTGAAAACCTGCTAGCTCAGAGAGACAGAGAAAGCACCCAGCTGACATTCCATCTCAGTTCATGTCCCTATGGAAAAAGACCAAAAGGCTCACTAGCTCAGCTGACAGGCCAGGAGAAAAAGGCCAAACAAACAAAACAAAACAAGAACAAACAACAACAACAACAACAAAAAAAAAAAAACCAAACAGAAGACCAAAGGCTTGCTAGCTCAAAGCCCAAAAAGCCAGAGAGCTAAAGATCAGGTGCCAGAGGGCTAAAACCTCCTTCTACTTCTACATGCTGTCTTAAATACCCCTCAATTCAAAGTTCCCCCTACTCTTTAATCCACATCAGCTGGTTCCTTGCTCCGCCTCTTGACCTAGGGTTAACTTTATTATGAAAAAAAAAAAAAGTACAAAAAGTTCATGAATTAAAGATGTGTAATAGGGCTCAACCACACCAAACAAGAAACAGGGTTTTGCAGTTCACAATTTTGGGGTCCACAATGAGATTAAAAAAAAAAAAACCTGCAACAAATCTTTTTTTAAGTAGCATTGCCTGACCAGGGAATAATCTTCTTCATGCCCCAACCCTCACACTCTATGTAGCAATGCTTAGACATCGGTCATTATACCCAGTGTGGCAGGCTTCAACCCTAATTTTCAATCCCAGTGTCTCTCAAATTTAGCTAATCTAGAACCACATGGGGAGTTTCTAAGAGTTAGAACCACAGGCATGTTGTGCATTAAATAAACAGCTGACCAGAGTGGGACTCAGTGTAAAAGTCCCCATGTCACTTCAAAGGGCAGTTAAGATTAAGCCAGGGCCAGAATATGGTCTTCATTAATTGTAGGTCTACTCCTGAATTCATCCAGGCATGATTGTAAGGGATGTCACACCCACATGCCCTGCTCACTCAACGGTTTATCACTGACTGCCCACCGAGATTGGGAAACACTGTCATAACTTGCTGATGCTTGAATCCTTTGAAACCCTCTCTGGGGATTGGAGTAGACTTTGATCTTCACCTACAGAGAGAGGAATGTGGACTGAGTGGTCCTCGATAGCTTTTCCATTTTAAAGGTATATAGTTTTGTAAGAATGTTGCATCCAAGTGAAGAAATAACAGTAGTGGAAAAAGAAAACTACCTGCATCTCAACTGTATTTGATCATTCCAAACACTTGGTATATGCAGCGTTAGAGTGAAATTCAAGAAAAGTTTGTGGCATTTCATTGTGACTAATTCTAAAGAATTTCCTGACCTTATTCAAAGTCTGGGCTCCAGCATTCTGCAGATCCACCTGAAACAATTATTTCATTCAAAATGTCAACTTGAATTCTCAGGTGATGCTCTTCCTGTTCTTCAGAAGCAGTGAGAAAGAGCTGTGTGACATCTACCCTGAGCTGCTCTGGATATGCCTCTGTCCACACTGGAATGAAAGACACAAACAGTAAACAACTCAATGAAACCATGCTCCTTGTTTGTCAGTGTTGGTTGCCAAACACCCTTGTTATTTGCTAGTTGGCCACTGGAGGGCAGTATGGAAGCAGTTATAGCCTAGGCTATTTGCTGCTATTAGCCTTCCCATTGACTCAAACAGGAAAAAGGTTCATATTCTCCACCTGTGCTTAAAAAAAAAAAATTTTTTGAGCTAGGCAGTGGTGGTTGCATGCCTTTAGTCTCAGAAGTTGGTAGGCAGAAGCAAGCAGATTTTTGAGTTCCAGACCAGCCTGATCTACAGAGGGAATTTGAGGGCAGCCTGGGCTACACAGAGAAACCCTCAAAACAAACAAAAAGCTATTTTTTAAGGGAAAAATAAGCTCCGGAAGCATGACAGAATTATAATAACACAGAACTTATAATCCAACTAAATAGTAACAATATGGGACCCATGAGACATTAAAATATTTATAAAATTATGAAAAATGTACATAGTCATATGACACCTCAAGCAGCTTTTCTTCATGGATTCATCTAACATATAGAAAGGTAAGAAAGATTACGTATATTAGTCATTTTTTAAAAAGCTGTATGCTTTCCCACATTCTCACAACAGCAGGCTTTATCCTAGGACACAGAGAGGGCTCCCTTCCTCTGATTTTCTTCTCTCTTCTAAGCCCAGCTGCTTCCCACCTTTCTTTGACACATCCCACCTCCAAATCTAGGAGGTGAAAAACAACCCTTTGAATCTGGTAAGGAGAAGCCATTGTACTAGCCAGAGCCCTGTCTTGCTTCCTACTCATTTTGTCTGTCTTCCATTTGGAGTATGACAAACATCTTCACACACCCTTCTTTGGAAGCTGAGGCTGTAGCAGACTGAAAACCAGCACGTTCCAAACTTTCCCGGAGCATCTATCCCCTCTCTGAACAAGAAATGTCTGCACATAAATCCCAGTGTTACAGAATTGTCATTACAAAAATTACTAACACTCTTTGGGAAAAAAAATAAAGAAAGCAGTGCTTACCCTCTCTATCATGTGTCTCCCATTCAGATAACAGACCACAAAGTAGCTTGTCTTTATTTTCAACCAGATTTTTGACTTCTGACATAAATTTGTAAATATGTTAAAACTCTTTTGGTTGAGAGTAAGCACAATTTGAAATTTACAATCTCTTAGAGCAACTCTGTTCAGAAACTACATGCTTAGAAGTAGCATCTTTTTTTTTTTTTTTTTTTTTTTTTTTTTAGAAGTAGCATCTTTAACAACACATTATTATAACAATTTGTCTCAGGAAGAAAGTTGACTGTTAAAATATTTAAAATATTTTAAAGGAAATATAATCATCATCACCATCTATTTAAGCTAAGAGCTACATTTAAATACACACTATTTGAAAGTGTTCGCCAAAACAACTAATAAAATATCCTCATAATTTCATGTACTATACACTAAATGTACATTTTGTCCTTGATTGAAAGGACAAAAATGCAATTATTTTTTACAGAGCACTTTTAATAAGACTTATTATGTCAAAGACTTTGTAACTTTCTATATGTTTAAAAATATAAAAATACATCTGGGTGTGCTCATATATATCTGTAACCCCAGTGCTTAAGGAGGATCATGAGCTTGAGGCTAGTCTGCTCTACACAGTGAGAAAAAAGATGTGGATCCCAGAGGAAAAAAAGCAAATGTTCACTTCCTGCTTTCAGCCACAAGGCTTTGGTTTCATATTCAGAACTTAAGAACAACCAGTAGCACCTCTTGTTAGTCAGCTATTTGAATCCTCTGAGAGAGTCTAACCTCTTTGTTTGTTCCCTTAATCTTCACTATGGAGGTCTTAACTGATCCAAAATTCAAAACAATATAATAAATAGCAACTAAAAAGAAACAACAAAACTCTTAAACTTCTCTGCAGTGGCTAAATTTACCATTGTTTGTGTGGAGAAACCATCTGGAAAGAGTAACTGAAACCTTCACACTTAACCTGGAACACCGAAGGCAGTAATCACACTTTCATGGCTCCTAAAGCTCACAGCAACTTGTTTCTAAAAGGATGGTTATCTCCCAGATTTGCCGATTGCTATGTAAATAGAGAAAATTGATGCTCTTCCCTCAACTCTTGGAGCCTCTGCTCAAGGTTAGAAAACTTCTGGGTTCAAACTATGTAAACAACCCTCACCTAGAATCCACAAGGGGTCTGTATTATTCATAGTCCTCAGGCTCATGATTCATAAGCCAGGTGTTTCACAGCCCTCTGGTTACCCCTCAGGATCAAAGCTGGAATGGCAAGATTTGGGTCTGAGGGCAAGAACAAAATGCCAGCCTGAGGCAGCAGTATATTCAGGCTGTAAAAGAGACTACCCTCGTAGGCCAAACTTTTTCCTCTACCCTTCTTTTTTATTTATTTTATTTTTTTTAACCTCAATGGTTATTCCAACCCAATTAAATGTAAGGGTTCTAGTTCAGCTCTACCTCCAATATAACCCAAGTTCTGCTGACTTTACATTTTATATACAGAAGTGGTGCTTCCTCACTGTCTAGCCTAGGTGACTGGCTCTCACCCTGACCTTATTGCTACTGATCTACTTGCCCTAAATGCTCACCATTGCCAAGACACTCTTAGCCATAAGTAAGTTTGTACAAACCAATCCAGGTGCTCCTTAGCCTGTTCATAACTTTGAAGAAGCAGGGGTGACATGATGCCTTAGGATATAGCCTTGGTCTTTTTCTTCATGGCCCTTTCAACTAGCCACAGCTATACGTTTGTTTTGCTCATGCAGTCATGCCAGCCAGAGAATGGCTTCCTTCTCATTTCCTAACATATGATCTAGTTCAAGTTTCTTCTTATTAAGACCTGCTCCCAACCCTCCAAGGCCACCGAACACTTACCTGATCATACAAGTCTGTGAAACTAATTTATGTAGCTTAGTTATCTATTTCCTAACTAGTCACACTCTCAGGGCAAGTCAAAGACCTATTTTAAGTACATTTATAACCTGAATTTTGCCTTGTAAAGAAAAAAAAACTGTACAAGGTATTCTTGATTGGTGTTGTTCTTTTTGTTCAAATAGTCAAGCTCCAAAAAACAAAATAAAATACCCACCCCATCCCCCATTCTCAGGAGTTTTTTGTTGTTGTTGTTGTTTTCTATAGTGAACTTTTGTGGCTAAAGAAGAGTTTGCCAATAACTGGAGGTAAGTGGGAATGAGGCCAGGGATGACTATCTCATCAATACATCCTCATTTGGCTTTATAAAACCAATCGGCTTTCAAAGATCTAATCTTTTAAATATCAAAAACGTACATGTATCTTAGGCCCTCTATGATACTAATTTATTTTTAAAAAGGAACCATTTCTATCCCCAAGCTACATAGAAAAACTAAGTGATATAAAAAACTCAGCCCAGGTCATAAACCAGTAGAAACATCCTGTTCTCCTGTGGACCGGGTATAGACTGAGTTTACACGATCAGGATTGTCTTGCTGGAAAACTGAGCAGTGTTTGCAAAAGCGTTTGACAATATGTTTTCGGAAGAACACTGAGAGATAATTCCGGAACTTCTCCCCAACAAAGGCGTAGATGACAGGGTTGATGCAGCAGTGTGTCATTCCAAGAGTCTCTGTCACCTGCATGGCCTGGTCTAGTCTATTAGAACTACTGCAATTATTCAGTCCAAAGAATTTTTGGAAGGTGTTCAGAAGGAGAACAATGTTGTAGGGAGTCCAGAAGAGAAAGTAGACAATCATGATGGCAAAGATGAGCCTCACTGCTCTGTGCCTTTTCTTCTCATTCCTACAGCGAAACAGGGTGTGGAGGATTCCTGAGTAGCAGATGACCATGACAAGTAGGGGCAGGATCAGGCTCAAGATGACCATCTTTAACGTCTGGAAACTCTTCCAGAAATGATATTGGGTGTGTGGAAAATGAGGACTGCATGTATAATGAAAACCTTCTTTTTGAGATCTGGTAAATACTATTTCCGGGAGAGAAGCAAACATGACCACCACCCAAGTGACTCCACTTGTCATCACCCCAAAGGTAACTGTCCTGGCCTTTAAAGCAAGCACAGCATGAACAATAGCCAAGTACCTATCAACTGTCAGGAGGATAATGAAGAAGATTCCACCAAAGTAACCAATGTGATAGAGTCCCGTGAATAATTTACACATTATATTTCCAAAGACCCACTCATTTGCAGCATAGTGAGCCCAGATTGGGAGAGTGAACAGGAAGAGCAGGTCAGAGATGGCCAGGTTGAACAGGTAGATATCAGTCATGTTCTTTAGCTTTTTACAGCTTATTAGGATGAGGAAGACCATCATGTTACCCACAAAACCAAAGATGAATACCAGGGAGTAGAGTGGAGGCAGGAGCTGGGCTGCAATTTGTTTCACATCAGTTTTTTGGCAGGGTGCTGATGTATCATAATCATTGTCATAGTTAAAGGTTGTTGTTGACTCTTGCAAATCCATCCTGCAAGAACCTATGAACAAATAAAAGACAATGCTTAACAAAGTTTAAAGCAGTTACTGGCCCATGATAATTACAAATTGTTTTATAACTTAGTAGGTCTTTGAAGCATAGATTTATAAATTTAATTGTTCTATCATCAGATGAGCTGAAATTCACCAAAGATGCATTTCATCAAATAAAAATCTTGCTTTTCAAATCAATGTAGGGTGAATTAATCTGTGAAACTGAGTCAGGCACTATATGACTCACAGCCTCAAGAGTTCTATTGAAGATACTGTTTCTAGGCATTTACCCACAAACAGTAGGTTTCACGTAAGTGCCAGTAAGAATGAGGGTGCTAATCCTGTTCTAAGCTTCTTATCCACTCACTCACTAAACGCTTAGCTTAACTGTTTGGGGTGGGTAATACTGTTTACCTTTTTCTAGACAAAAGCCCCCTAAGTACAGAAAGAATGAACAAGTTAACACAAAACCACCAAGAAGAAACTGACTTTGAATTTGGCAGCATGAACTGTTAACTTACCTATTGCCTGTCACTTCTTGGTAACTAATAAGCCTTTTTTGTTGTTGTTGTTTTGTTTTTTTTTTTAAGTAACATGGTGCCTCTCTGTGGTCAGGATGAAATGGGCTAATGTCTAAGTACTCCAACAGTGTCATAGAATCTAGCATCAGTAATTAAAGTAGGCCATCCTCATTTTTTTCTCTGAAATTATTTCTGCTTCCTAAGTTGACACCACCCAGACTTCTCATGTAAGCAGAAAAATGGTCAAGTAGAAAATGTTACATCCGTCTCTAAGGGTGAATATCTTACAGGCTAAGTAGTTCAGTGCTCAGGCTCTAAAACCAACTGGCTTGTCTTGTCAAAGTTCTACTACTTTACTTGAGAATTTTCTCTACTTGATTCTCCAGAGCTCTTCATACTTCTCATTTAGGCAGTTGACAGAAGCACCCACAAAAATCTCACCTTCAAGTGCTGAGCCAGAACAAGAATCATCTACTAAGTGTGCTATAGATACTTGAGATTTGATATGAACTTAGACAAGTTTTAGGTTTTCCTATTTTTGGGGAGACAGGCAGGGAAAGGAGAGAAAGAGAAGAGCTTCTGGCATGCACATGTTCCAAGGGACATTTGGAGAGGGTTCGCCTCTTCTCAGCTGAAGATAATGTTACAGAAGCAAATTCCAGCCATATCATTGCTCTAGAAGCTGTTTTAAGAGGCATGAACTCTGTTTGCTAAAAAATTACTGTCTCTTTTAAATATTTCATTAACAATTATGTTTTGTATATTTGATGACATCACATGCTGAAACACAACCTAAATTCTTATCTTTCCTTTATCTTAAAGATTATATTTTCAGATAATTCTGTGAGCACCTGGTGCTGACAGATGTTCTCTCAGGATTTCCTGTTAAAGTTTTTACACATCACAGAAGCTGAGCTAACTAACCTGCCAAGGGCTGAGAGGTGACTTACCAGAGTTTCTTGTAGGGGGAACGGATGTCTCACCTCCTCTGGCCAGGGGAGCTGTGCAAATCAAACATAAAGATAGTATAAAGTAAGAAATGCAGTTTCTTTCAGAGGGGGTGGAGTTTAATGAGAATGTGTATTACGTAGTGTTCAGGGTGGGGTGTCAGATCAGTTCTTCTTCTTTTTTTAAAAGTTGCATTTAGAACAGAAAATAGAGGTAGCTCTGGCCTGAAAGTTTTTTGAGGAGTTTCCCTCCTCATACTATTTTACTTATGTTCTCTGCTCATCCAACTACACAGTTAATTAAAAATTAGAAAAAAAAGGGGTATTAATGCCAGAAGAACACTTATGTCCAGTAATTAAAGTCCACATTTGAATCAAGGGAGTCACTGTCCAAGAGACAAATAATACGTAGAGTATCTCTGCTTCTCACTGGTAAAACCAAAACGGCAAGTGCATTTGTTCTCCTCATGGTTGTTCTTGGTTAAAGTAAACTCCGGCCAATTTAAAGTCAGATAGGAGGTTCACTCTAGACATCAGCCTTATTTCTTCTTTTACTTGTCTTCCCTCCTCATCCTACATTCCACAAACATAATTTTACTGCTCAGTATGACCCTTCTGTGTAAACTAAAACAACTGGTTATCAAAAGGGTTTACCATACATTTTCCTGGGAACTAAACATATTTCTCAGTTCCCCCATATATCTGGGGGGGACATATATAGCTGGTGAGACACAAAAATTATACATTTCAAGTAGGCATTTATGAGTGCTAGTCTATGCCAGATTTGATGGTAACAGAGTTACTCACTCCAAGAACATAATTTATCTGGAGCTGTGGAGGATTTTTCATGAAACAATAAACAGAAGTATGTGATAGAATTCAGAATAATATAATAATGCCATATGTGGCCATGTCAGATTTCTTGGGTGGTTGGTGAATTTTTCAAAAACATCAAGGAATGACAACAGCACTAAGAACACAGCACAGACCTGCCAATGAGACACAAGAACTTCTCTGGGCTCCCACAGCTTCAGCTGTAAAAGCAGCAGCTTTGACTTGCAAACACAGACAAAGGAAACTTCAAATAGTAAAATTACTTGTCCATAAATCTACAGGAGGCAGTTTAACACATGGACCCAACCAAGGCTTCTGCAGCCACTGTATTAAGTTGAGTAACAGTAGTCATTTCATGGTTTGTTATAACAGGCTGTTGCCTTTAGTAACTTCATCTTGCTTTATTCTTACTACTCATTCCTAAGATACAGCCTTCTCTCTGCCCTACAGAGAATCTTGTCATAAAGGTAAGACTAGACTACCACCAGGAGATTAACAACTCTGGCTAGCACAGGATTGTCTAACTCAAGTTCCTGAGAATGCTGATTCTACACATAACCCTTATTTTTGTCTTCACATAAATATTCTCACTTCCCTCAAAGACTTGGGAGGGGGGAGTTGGCATATCAGTTTGCTTCCTTCTGGGTGACTGGCATCCTCAATAAAGCCTGCTTCTTTTTCAGTTCTTGTCTCCTAGGGATTAACTTTCTATGTAATAAGCATCCAGACCTGAGTTTGGTAGCAATAAGAGGCAATCACAGTATGTAGATAGATAAACCACACACACAATAAATAGCAATCTCTTAGCTACTCACTCAGTGATCTTTTCAAAATGAACACAACTTAAAAATCTTCATTTTTAAAAATCATGCTCTGAGGTAAATTTCTTCAGTGCTGCTAGACAAATGTAAACTTGTATGTGAACGTTATTGATTCTTATTGTTATCATGTAGATCTAGGGCTTAGCTCTGTGCTGAGACAGTTTCAGAGTAGCTGAAGATATGGGAGCTCTAGCTCACTCCCAGAGGGCAGTGTGGAGCAGCTGTATGCAGGCTCAAAAGTCACTCAGTTAGGGCTTCCAGTGGCTTTGAGAAGATAATTCACCTCTGAAATTCCATTGCCTGTCCTGTTAGTGATGTGCTAACAGTTGGGAAAAGAATAAATGCTACCAGAGACCATGGAAAGTATGCCTTGAAACAGAGCCATGGTCAAGATCACAGTCTGCAGCAAGAAGCCCAGCTGAGCAAGCTATTGCCCTCTGTTAAGTGCCTAATCCAGAGGTGTGTTCTAGTCAAGTATGCACAAGGAAATAAGGAACTATGGACCCATGGAGAAGTCTTTACTAACAAATAAACTTTACATTTTATATGCATCACCACAATAGCACACTGTGCTGCAACTTGGATTTTGGTCTCTGCTTTGATTACTGTTTTGTCCATCCCAGTTTGCATGACTTTGTTCTCGTATGTGTTGTACTTAGACTCCCACAGGAAATGATCTTATGATTAGTTTGTCCCTCTAGACTCAATTCCCATGTAGAGTATCTCAAGCCGGCTTTCCTTCTGGGATACTAGTAAGTCTTTAGGCAACTTCACCATCTCTAGTCATTGTATTAGTGTCCTTCTCCTTGCTTTTATCTTATTACCAACTACATTCCTGGACCAATATTCAGAGCATCCTCAACAAATAGTACGATGCTAATCTTTCCCTTTGAGTTCAAGAACATAGTAATTTCACTCTAAGTCCTTGTGAGTAGTATGATGGGCTGTGAAAAGAGCAAGTGAATCTTTAAAAAGAAAATATCTAGGGCTGAGGAGACAGCTCAGTGGGTAAAGTGCTTACTGTAAAAATATGAGGGTCTGAGCTTGAATCTCCAGCATTCAGATTTTAAAAAGACAAAAGAAAAAAAGTCAAATGTGGCACTGCATGCCTGTAATTGTAGTCCTGAGGAATAAAAACAGGACGATTCCAGGGAATCATTAGCTAGGCAGTCTAACCAATTAGTGAGCTGGTTCAGTAAAAGACCATGTCTTGAAAATTAAGGTGAAGAATTACAGATGCATGAACCCACATACACATGCCTATACAGACAAATGTCTATTTATAAAATCAACATATGCTTATTATATGAAGTAGAAGAAAACATAAATGAGAAAAAATAGTCACATTTTCATAATTTTAAAAAAATAGCCCTTTTAAAACACATTTCACGTGGTGGCACATGCCTATAATCTTAGCATTCAGGGAGACAGAGGCAGGCAGATCTCTGTGCATTTGAGGCCAGCCTGGTCTACAAAATGAGTCCAGGACAGTCAAGGCTACACAGAGAAACCCTGTCTTGAAAAACCAAAACCAAAATAAAAACAAAAAAACAAAACAACAACAACAAAAACCAAAAAAAACCCAAACACATTTCAATCTTAACCCTCTCCCATGAACCCTTTTAAACTGGTCTGACACATATATAACTCTAGTTTCTGGTGTTTTCTGTACGAGTTTCTTCAGTATTGTAGCACAGTGCTATTAAAGAGTAGCTTTCAAAATTGTGCTCTTAAAAATTTTTATGGGATGGACATAGTGGGGATACACCTTTAATCCTAACATTCTCTGAGTATGAGGTCAGCCCAGTCTGCACAGTGAGTTCTAGGCCAACCTAGGGCTAGTGAGACCTTGTCTCAAAAAATTTTTTTGTTATGAATATATTTCTTTAATTGAAGTTTTAATTTAGGTCTTATATTTTAGTTGTATAGCTTTACCAATTCTGATTTACATAGACTTATAAAACCACCATCAAGATTTGCTGATAAAGAATGTATCTTCCATGGAAGGTGGCTTTCATCTTGCCTAAGGGGTAAAGGTCATTCTGACCTTATATAGATCAGGTGGCTTTATACTTCATGAAAAGACAATCTCAGATGCTGCTTTCCTCCTGCCTGGTGTCTTTTGTTTCACATTACAATATCAGCTGTCTTTTAAAGAGCAGATAGGACCTTTTCTGTAATTTACTAACAGGAACAATGCCACACTAACGATGTTCTTTTGTCCTGTTAAGAAGACCTTAGTGCTTAAAAGCCTACCTTTATTTGTGTAGCCAGAGACTCCTCACAGTCCTATGGTAATAAGAAAATTCTACTCACCACCTTTCTTCCTTTTTCTTTTTTACTTTAAAAAATTTTGTTTTTTTAAATTTTATATTAGTTTATTTACTTTACATCCCAAGTGTGCCCCTCCCCTCCTCCCAGTCCCTCCCATTTCCCCTCCTCTTACCTTCCCCTCTCCCTTTCCCCCCAGAAAAGCATAGCCCCTCCCCTCATATCAACCCTCTGCAGCACATCAAGTCACATCAGAACTGTGTACATCTTCATACCCTGAGGCCAGGCAAGACAGCCCTGCCAGAGGAAAGTGATCCAAAAGCAGGCACTAGAGTCCATGTTAGAAACAGCATCTCCCTCCACTTGCCAGGTGCCCCAACAAAGACCAATCTGCCCTTTGGCTACACGTGTTCAGGAGCCCTAGGTCCAGATCATGCATGCTCCTTAGTTGATGTCTCAGTCTCTGAAAGCCCCCATGTGACTGGGTTAGTTGTCTCTGTTGGTCTTCTTGTGAGGTTCCTGTCCCCTCCAAGACCTTTCATCTTTCTTCCAACACTTCCCCCAGAACTCTGCCCCATGCTTGGCTGCAAGTCCCAGCATCTGTCTCAATCTGCTGTTGGCTGGAGCCTCCCAGAAGACAGTCAAGTTAGGCTCCTGTCTGAAAGCATAGCAGAGTATAATTATTAGTGTCAGGAGCTGCCTCTCTACTGTGGGGTGGGTCTCAGGTTGGGCCAATTATTGTTTGGACTTTCCCTCTATCTTTGTTCTCTTGTTATTCCTACACTTCTTGTAGGCAGGGAAATTTTTGGTTCATAGGTTTTATGGGTGGGTTATTGATACCCATCTTCCACTAGTCCTGCCAGGCTAGGAGGTGGTCACTTCAGTCTTCATGTCTCCACTTTCCCCCCATTAGGAGTCTCAGCTAGAATCACACCCATATCCTTCCAGGAGCCTACCCTGTAGCAGGCCTCCAGCTTGACTAAGAGATGTCCCTCTCCAGTTTCCCTTCTTGTTCCCAGCCCTCTCACCTCCCACCCCTGTTCTCGCTACATCCGATCCCTGCTCTTGTTTCCCTCCCCATTCCATCTCCTGCCCAGTTTCCTCAGTTTCCTTTCTTCATCCAGTTCTGCTGT